CGTTAATGCCAGATTATGCTTTCTATTTAGTAAAGCACTTTGGATGTTCCATCTTTGCAAAGTTACAAGTTAAACTTTATATTATTGGTTCTTTATGAAACTAAAGTGTTAGTGTTGTCATACAAAAACCAATTTTCAATTTTCTCTGGTTCCTCCAGAACCTTAACTGTGTTGACCTGAATAATTTTTTAAAGGGAACATTAAATGCTAAGGTACTCATTGCGGCTGGGCAAAATTTTCTTGAGTGACATATCCCAACTCTGTCATGAATTTATGTGTAAAGCTTCTACATTTCCCATAATGTGTAGCAATTTTAGTTTATTTTTTTCTTGAAATTATAAAACTCTGAGTTTCACTTAATTCATCTTTAAAAAAGTAATTACTTGTAGCAAACATAGGAAATCTTTGCTATTGGCCATACATTCATTCAGGGACAACCTTGTCTATCTTTCCTTTCATCAGCAATTATTGTGGGTCCTTTATCTCCACATTGCCTGACTCATACCTGATAACATCTCCAAGTCATGGTTACACTAACACAGTTTGCATAGATCAGGTAACTGATTCCACCTTTTCAAGTCGCTGAGTCACAATACTGTAGTCACGGTCTTTTCTGCTCTACCACGTATTGGAAATTGACAAATCATTTCAGCACCCCTGCCCCCAGCTGCCTGTGTGTGAACTGAATGTAGGTCATCACGGACAGGGCTATGATGTGAGATACCACAATTTCAGGATACACTGCCTCCTGCTTTCAAGATTTAAACTGAGTCTTTCTAAAACATGCCTTTTCCCCCATTGTTTTAATTAAAATGTGCCTTCAACACAGCAGAACTGACATTTTGGACTGAATGGCGTACAAGAAATACCTGTACCGACCTTAAGTCACTGCGTCTTAAATCTTACAGATGAGGAACACAGGTTCAAGGAAGTTTAACCAGCTTGCTCAAGTCGAGTTGGGAGGTGACCATAGGTTACTATAACCCCAAAGTCAGTAGTTCCCAAATGACCTGAATATCTGAGTCACATGGAATATTATGCATACAGATTCCCAGGCCCCATCTCTGGGTAATTCCATGAGTGGACTGTGGATGGTCTTCCTCTACAGTCTTATATGTGCTATTTGTGGCCTGTTTTTATTTTCTAGGTGGACTTCAGCTGAGAAAGGAAACTAAACCCAAATGCTCTACTTTTAGAAGCCAGGGAAGATGTGCATGGACTGTAGCAGCTTATCTTGAGCAATTTCTTCTCTCCTTTCTGAACTAGACTGTTTCCTCCATCAGGTGAATGATGCAGATAGAAAAGCAGAGATGGGTGCAGTGGCTGCAGTGGTGGCTTTTTTCCTGACTTCTGTGGTGTAAATACCCCCACCACAGCAAATTTCAAACAGCCCCTCTCATAAAATTTCTCATAACAACTGGCCCAAAAGCCAGCTCCAGGGTACACCTGGGTATTGAGTATATGGGGGGAAAGTGAACAATTTCCCAACATTATCTAAATTGTCCATTATGTGGCTCAAATTGGGTGTGAACCCCCCAGACATCACTTTCTCCCCTGGCCTCACACTCTGACTTCCATGGGCATCTCAGGGCCCACAGTCCTCATCTCTCACTCGGATTCCAAGGGCATGTTCTATGTGGGGCTGCAGCACAAGGAAGCCATGGATGGGACTAGTGGATGGGGCTTTCAGTGGCAGAGCAGTGCGTGCCCTCATTAGGATGACCGCTATTTCCCTCCTACCTGCCTTGCAAGGTTGTACTATGGGCAGGTTGCCCTCTGCTTGAGAGAGGCTGCCAGCCTTAGTGTGCCTCATAGGGCCAGGGTGGGAATGAAACATAAAATAGGGCTTAAGGGAGTTGGCTGTTAACCTGAGAGGGAAAGAAAAGGGCAGGGTCTTTAGGTGTTTCTGTATCTTTACTCACAATAGGAAAGATATACAGTCAAATCAGAGTATAGGGTCAACATTAGCTTGCAGTCTACCAGGACAGGGCTGAAGTTACCACTGGCCTGCTTTTAATCCACGAGTTCAGCTAGAGGCGCAGGCTGGCTGCTCAGAACCTGCGCATGACCAGGTCACAGCCGCAGCTAGTCCAGTGACAGAGACTGTTCCTCTGCCGGGAAGTAGCCCTTGTGCAGCTGACTCACCTTGGGAAACTGAGTGCTGACAGCGTTTTGATAAAGACTGGGCCCTGAGCATGCTAACATGACTAACGCCACCATGTGTAAAAGTACCAAAAACATATTCCAAAGCCAAATGGAAATTATTCTAGGATTACTTACCAGTTTATTATTATTTGTTTCTTTGGTAAATTTCCATAAGTCAGGATCAGTGTTTTGGGGGTGACTACAGCAAAGGTAAATACTCCATCCTTGAGCTCCCCAGGTAACAACACTGTGCTGTATGTAAGGGCAAACTTGTTTTGAATGTTAACTTACTTTCATTCTGGTTGAATCCATTTGTACACCAATTTGATGCCCATATACTCTTTTCCCTGACTAAAAAAGTAGACATTTCATTCATCTTCTAAGATGGCAAAGTTAAATTGACTCCCAAATGAATCAGCCCAAGAGAGAAGTAGTGATCACAGTAGGGCTCACAATTTCAGCATAAACACTTCAGAGAAGGCAGCATGGGTAGATTTTGAGTGAAAAGACCTAGATTTAATTCACCAACTATTGGTCCAGTTATTAAATCTGAGTGTTTTCTTGTCTGCAAAATAGATATTTATGCTTAAATTTCATGATAGCATTTCTTACCATGTACTAAGTATATTTATCATGTTCTTTATCCTTAATCCTCATAGTCATCCTTCAATAGTTCTTAAGTTGCAGTTCAGATTCCTGCAGAGATCTAGAGATGAGACCAGAAATGAACATGCAAAGCCTCCTCCATGTGCGTATTTGTGCATTTGTCTGGGTTTCAACCAGGGACACATGGGAAACTCAGCATCTGCGGTGAAGATGGGAAGAAGAAAAGCATAGGAGTGTGCATTTTAGAACTCACCCCCCACCCATGATTCTGATGTCCCCATCCCAGTCTAGCTTGTGAGATACCAGTTATGACAAAAAGACCCAACCACCAGTTTATAATATTGACTTCAGTGCTGTGGGTAAAACTGCAATATTTCCAGAATCTCTCACCTGGCATCTCCTTATCAATAGGTGTCTCCAAGGGGTGGAAAGAAGTAGTCCATCTAAATATCAATAGGTTATTACAAGGGGGAGCGAGGGAATTTCTGGACCGTAGAGGTTGGGTGGGACCCCTTTTTGCAGCTGGGTCACAAGAGATATGGGCAAGCAGAAGTGGACAACTGCTTGTAAGCAACAAAGGGGTTTCTCCTACTTTATTTTTCCTTTGACTGATTTTGGTTTCAAAGGTATTTTTTCCTAGGCTGGGAGATAGATTTTCTCCCCAGTTACAAGTGTATACTGTGTACTCAAAGTAAAATTATCCTAAAAGATGAATAAAAATTGAATTACTTAGTATTGTCTAGAGAAATCAAAGTGTGTGTCCACACTAACTTGCACACAAATATTAATAGCAACTTTATTCACTATAGTTCCAAACTGCAAACAATGCAAAAGTCCACCAGTCGGTGAATGGATTAAAAGGGAACATACATGTCAAAATATAGATGATTCTCAAAAAAATGCTCAGTGAAAGCCAGATGTAGAAGATAGTTCCATTTATATAAACTCTTGCAAACTAGTTTATAGTAACAGAAAGCAGGACAGTGATTGCCTTGGGAGGACTGGGCCTGGAAGGACAGATTAAATTGCAAAGGGAAAGGAGATTTTTAGGGTTATGTAAATGTAATGGGTCTTGGTTGTAGTGCTGGTTTCACAGATATATACACTCTTTCCAAAATCAATGAGCTATAAACTTTTTAATGATTGAAGTTTATTAAACATAAAAGTATGCCTTAGTAAAACTGATTTAAAAATTCACAATCCCAGCTCCTAAATGCTAGTGAATCTCATGGAACATTTCTCATGTAAGTAAAACTACTTACACACCAACTTAAAATGTCCTTTGAATTGCTCTTTCAGTATGAGTGATGGGCCAGTACTAATCTCTCAACACTATTCTCTCCCCTGACCCATTGAGCAGGCCTTTTAGGAGCTGGTCAGCAGTATACTACAAGGCTGAATTGTCATGCAGAGGCTGGGGTGACCTCGGCCTCATGAGAATCCCAAGCCATCTAATACCTGACAGATCAAGTTAATGTGGTCTGACTTACTCTAATGGCTGTACCCATATTTTGCAGTCAGTAGCTTAGGTAACATAGGCTGTGAATTATACAGAAGCCCCCACAACTGAGCAGTAATTCCTTCTCTACTGTAGACCAGTTGTCAGCCATTGAAAACTCTGTCCTGAACAAATAATCAACTTTTGAGCAAGACCAAGCTTCTAGAGAGACAGTAAGTTCCAAAATTATTTTACAGCTAATATGCCTGAGTACATGTGTATAGAATCCAAGATAATTTGTGTTCTAAAATCCAATTTCACACTAATTTCTAATTTTTGTTTCCAACTTTAATGCCTTGGTAACTTTTTTTTTATCAACAAACTATTTTTAGAAGTCAGTGAGATGTAAGCAAGTATTTATATGCCCTTAGTTCTTTATAACCTCATGATAATGATTAAGATCTATAACAAACTAACTTACTGTGAATCAGTGATTTACAAAAGCACTTCCAACCAAATTAAGCACTTTAAAACAGATGGCCCATTTGTTTTCTAACTAATAGGCATGAATACTGTTTATCTTCAGTACCTTCTACATATGTAGATTTTTATGTAATATTTATGAAATTCATATTTTTTAGAAAGTCAAATTTATCATGATTTGTAAGAATAGAATAAGACAACAGTAAGTGAAGAAGAGAAGTCAGAAAGTTTGTGTGAAATTTTTAAAAATGAGTCTGCCTTGGAAATTCTGTATTTTTCCTGTTTATGAAAAAATATTGTGGACTCAGGTTCCATGCATTTGGGCAGCTGCAGAAGTATAATATTTGACTAATCTATTACGAGTAGACTGTTTCTAGAAGATAATAACTTGTTCCAAATAATAACTTTCTAGAGAAGCCAAATACTTGTAACACTTGAAACAGAACTGAAACCCTTGATCACTTTTTATTTCAAAATGCTAGTTTTAATTCTCTATTATACAAATAGTTTTTCAAAATTCAGACACTATTCAAATATAAGCCAAAGTCCTTATACAAATACACACAAAGATCAAAAATATACAGTCTCTCAGCAAATTGTTACATATATAATAAAAATATATACAGCTAGTATTTTCAGTCTAAAATACAATTAACACTGAAACCACACACAGAAAGTGACCAAAATAAAAAGCAACACATAGCAAAAGTTAAAGAAACAACAAATTCATTTTATGACAGCTACTATTATGAAGATACATATAACCAATCTTTGCAGTAAATATACTTCACACTTAAATCTTAATTTTTATTTCATTTTATTCATCTTTTAGCATGTTTTCTGGATAGGTGAAATCCACAGTTCTACCAGCTATTCCTGGCACCTCGGACAAAAGTTAGAACATGGGAAGAACTATATAATCTATCTCTTTGTACTTAGGGATCAGTGTGAAAAAAATTCTTTAAGTTAAATTTTTTGAATCTGTGTTAAAATTTTGCCAAGTGAACTGAATTGGCTATTGAAAAGTCAAGCAGTTTTTTTTAAGTAGGAAACATCAGAAAACAAAAAATCCAGACACTTGAAGAGCCTTAAAGTAAAGCAATAAAGGAAATTAACACCAGTGGTTCTCTAGACAAAAGCAACTCAACTTGAAGTACATTTAATCATGTTTTGCCCCAGAAATTGTCCTTCCTTTTCTGAGCTCGTGCCAGAGTTTGAAAAGCCTGAAGACTAGAAGCTGCAGAACGTGCAGAAATCTCAGATAATCTGTCCTCATCTGCAATGAAAGAATTATATTTAGTGCAAAAGATATACCTGATAAAATGCTGTTTTCATTAACAGAAAATTAAAAGCATCAAACATTGTAATGTCAGTATTGACCATCAGAAAAAAAATAATCTATTAAAATATAAGATACTAACATTTCAGGACAGTTCACAGTAATTTTCCAAGTTTATCATATTTAAAAACCAAACATTAAATGTTAAATGAGCATTCTGTTTCCTTACTGAAATCCCACAATGTTATTACATAAACTCATGGCCTACGATTTCAGCATTACTTGGAAACATCTAATCATTATACTATCATGTCCTGTTTTAAAGGGCACAGCTGTTCTGAGCAAAAAGTTTTTTTAAGCTTTTTAAAAAACAAAATGTTATACCTTAACATGGTACTTACATCATATTTCTAAAATACTCTAACTTAATGTAGAAATAATGTTTGACTCAACTATACCACCTTCATTATTACTGAAATTCTTCATTCTGAGTAATCAAATCTATTATTAGATTATCTGTAAACACTGTTCATCCATTAAAAAGAAAACAGAACTGGATTCAAAGTGTCCAGATACATGCATTTCAAAACATAACTTGATTTTAATATGTGTGAATTTGTAATACATAAAGTATTAATTCAAATTTACTTTCAAACTCCAAATAACTTGAGAAATTTCATACTTCTTAGAATGAACTAAATTAGTAATTTCTATTTTTCACATCAAGAATTCAAAATTCATCCTTTGCTATTATAAGCAAATGAATTTGTCAAAATGAAAACTACACAAGAGAATAATATTTGAAAAAAAATGACAGATATAACATTCTGAGCCCTCAGAGCCCCAAATTTCTGAGCTCTCAGTTCTCCAGGGTGGAAAACAGAAAGAGTGCTGACCTCAGGTGAGATGCCAGGCACAATCTCTTAGCATCTACTTGCTCTAGAAAGATTCTTCAAGGCTTTAGTTCCCAGTTTACTCATTTGTAAAATGGGGATAATTTTACCCCATTAGGGTTTCAAGGACCAATGAAATAATATCTGTGGAAGTACTCTGTAAAATATGAAGTGCTAATTGACTGTAAGGTCAATATTATACTATTATAAACTACTACATAATAAAACCTCATACTTTCATCTTGTGTTAGCTGACTACTGAAATACCTTCATCATTAAAGGCTTCATGCTGAAGCAACTGGAAATCGTTCATCCGTGTTTTTCCCACTGAAAAAAGGAAAGCAGAAGAAATCATCCTTTAAAGCCATCCAACAGTGTATCTTATTTACAGTAAACTCTTAGTGAAAGTATGCAGTCAGAAATTTTTGGTTCTTTATCTTTAATAGAAATTACTACCTAAGAGTCATTCATTAATTTACTATGTACTTATTAGCAAATACATAAATAAACAACAGAAAACCTCCTAGAATTCTTTTCAATGGCAATATTGATCTAATTCTAACTTTAAAGAAATATAGTAGGCTTATGTTTAGAGATGATAGACGGCCTACCCACATTTATAAAAATGACAGAAACCCATGATACAAAGAAAATGGGAAACAAGAAAACAGCAGTAAAATTTTAGAAAGTTTTTTCATAAATTGTGAAATTGAAAACAAATGAAAGGGCAGTGAATGTGCTATCATCATACCCAAGCAAGCTGAATCCTCTCCAGCAGAGGTAAACCAAGAAGCAATCAATCTCTTCTCCTAATGGCCCAGGGTTTAGTACCGACTATCACTGACTGTTGGAGTGAAGGTAAGACTGAACCAGGAATCTGGCTGAAAGTCTTTTTTCAAAAAGTCTGCCAGATCTTTCTTTAAATTTACATAGCTGGGTACTTCCCTCTCTCACAAGAGGAATGGAGGTTTTGTCTCTAAGGAAAGTTTATCAGAGCTACTTTGAAGAACACCAGGTTTAAGTAAGGGAAAGAATACCACATTCAATACATGGAGACTATATATATCATTTACCTCGTCAAAGAGATAAAACATGCCATCATGAAATAAGAACAGGATGCTGTATAAAAGGTGTACGCAGTGTTAAAAAAAAATTCTTAAAAATTAAAATAAAGTAAAAATATTTTTTAAACTCAAAAAAAAAAGGTAGAAGATAAAAATTAATAACCCTTCAAAATTCAAATAAAAAGAGATGGAAAATAGAGAAGTAAAATAAGAAAATAAGATCATATTCAACAGTTCCAACATCTGAATAATAGGAATGACAGAAAAAGAGAAAATAGAGATGGAAGAGGTTACTGACTAAATAATTCAAGAAAATTTCCCAGAAGAAACTGAGTTTCCAGATTTAAAAGGTTGAATGAGTACTAGCAAAATGAAAAGAGATCCACTTCAAAATTTCAGAGCATCAGATATAAAGAGCCAATCCCAAAAGCTGCCAGAAAAAAAAAGCCACATACAAAAGATAAAAAATAAACAGCATTAAGCTTCTCAACAGTAATAATGGAAGCTAGAAAAGAGCAGAGCACTGCCTAATAAAAGGAAAATAATTTATGACCTTGAACTACATCCAGGCAACACTGGGCAATGTCTGGACATTTTTGGTTGTCACACATGAGGAAGAGGTGCTACTGGAATCTAGGGGGTTGTCTATGTGCATATGGGAAAGAGCTTGAGACACTTGGCACTTACACAAAAGTGAACTGAGGTACGGAACAGTTGAGTGTTTCAAGGATATGATTTTTCCTAGTTAAGAAATAGATTACATTAACTAAAAAATTAAGTAAATAATCTGTTAACCCATATATAGTACATACTTTCAGCCTTTGTAGCTACCAGTATAACATTTTCATTTTAAACAACAGAAGATTAAAACCAAACTAAATACCATTATGCTGGAATTCTGGATCTTTCAGAGAGCCCTGAATTCGACGAGAAGGATGCCAGTAGGACGGAGCACAGGGTAGAGGAGACTGCCCAGGTGTGTTTGTCGGATATTCTGGAATTTTTGAAACTGGAAGCGTTGCCTCAGCAAATTTAGGGATATTGATTTCAAAATCTTCCCTCAAAGGCAGGGGATCAACTGTTTTTATACCAGCAGGTGGAGAAGTCAGAAGGGATATAGCATGACTTTCTTTCTAAATGAAAAGAAAAAAAAGATACATATGTGTGTGTACATATATAAATAAACCAAACATTTAAATGAAAAAGAATATAACCATAAAAGAAGCAGGGGATAATATGCAGAAAATATAGGTAACCTCCAAGTGGGGAATATTTTATAAGCCTAACAACCAATATAGATAAACATATTTAGCTATAAAATACATACATATACACAAACACACACACACACATATATACACACATACATAAAAAAATAAAAATTAAAAATTTGAGGAAAATATACAACTTACATGATTGATAATAAATTATCATTGTTACATAAATACTTCTTTACAAGTAATAGGAAAAAGTAAACCTACTTTAAAAGTAGGAAAGGGGCATGTATAAGCAATTCATAGACACAAATTCCTTCTTAATAGTACTAATTAAGGTACTAATTTTATATTTGCCAAATTATAAAGATTAAAAAAACCAAACTATAATACCCAAACCTGGCAAGGATGTAGAAAAATTGGCACCTCACACAGTATTGGGAAGACAGTCTTTTGGGAGAACTGGCAAAACAGCAAAAGCCTTAAAATTTTGTGTTCTCTGACCACACAGTAACACGTGGGGAGTATTTACAGAAAAAGAGATAATAACAGCATGAATAAAATGTAACTAAAGGATGGATTTCTTTACAGAATTTTTTCAAAATAGAAAAACTAAAAAATAACAATATGCATCTAGTTTAATAAATAGTTTTCAACAATAAGCATCTGATTTAAAAAACTACTGTATAATACAGGTCACATATGTTGGTATTGAAAATTAAAATTATAAATGATATTTAATTATATGGAAGTATGTTCACAATATACTTCTAAGTGAGAAAAACAGATTGTGAAACCTTATCTACAGTGTAATAAGCAAAAATATGCCTAAATAACTCAAATTATACAGATGCCTTTGAATAGTAGGTGTGAAATCATTTATTTTTTTTTAGTTGGTAAGTATTTTCTATGTACCACAAGGATAATGTATCACTATCCTAAAAGTCCTTCTGTAATTTTACTTTTTGGGAGAATGCAAATCAGTAAAATCATATATAGTTTCAAACTTTCCTCATTATTCCTTTTAACTGTTGCCTTTAGTTATTAACTTTATAGTGCAATATTCAAAACATTGCTTTCTGACCTAGGATATCATTTTCTGAGATCAGAGAGCCTACAGTTTCAAAGTGAAGATGGCCTGGGGTCTTATCACACAAACATATTTTTAAATCATAATCTAAGATAAAACCACAGATCTTCTCTCGGTTGCTTTAACTACAAATTTCACTTTGAAAAATTGCTTGACTTTTCTTTTTCAACATATATATACAGAATTTGAGATCTCTGTCAAATTGGCTTTACTATTGCTAAAACGACCTGAATAGAATCTCTAGAATATTTGTAACACATGGGGTTCCTGGGTTTAATTTAACTGACCTCTTGATCTGTTTTTGAGCCAAAAGCCTCCTTATTGGCCTCACTGCTTCCACTCTCCACCGTACAGTCCAGCGAGTAGGCAGAGTGATTTCATCATGTAAATCAGATAATCGCTGTGTTGCTTCAAATTCTCCAAGAGCTTCCTTGTGCATCAGAACAACATGCCCCACTCCTTACCCGGCCTCCCTTTCCAACTTCATCCCTTACCCCATCCTTTCCCTCTGAAGGCTCCAGTCATAAGGGCCTTTTCACTCTCTTTAAAATGCTCACTGATGTACACTTGCACTTACTGTCCTTTCAAACTAAAAAACAGTATCTGGCCCAGATCTCTGCAAGGGCACTTCCTTCATTAGTCAGGTTTTAGCGAAAATGTCACCTCCTCAGAGGTGCCTGTCCTGATGACCCACCTTGGAGGTCATTCACAATTTTATTTCATTTCCAGAACTTACTACTCCCTGGAATTATATTTGCAAAAATTTATCTATTTCTCTCAGTGGAAAAGTAAGCTCCATTAGGGCAGGGATTTGGCCTTGATTACTAACAAATCCCTAGATGCTAGAACAGTGCCTGCCACATACTAAGAACACATTAAATATTTAATTGAGTGAATAAAAATGGAACTCCTACTCCTGACAGTTCTCTCCAAAGACAGCTCCTGCCCAGAGTTCTGCTATTCAGTGCATGACACCCCCATCAAACCTGCTAGACAAGCCAGAAACGGAAAAGTCATTCACGGTCTCTCATCCCCCTTATCCAACCCAGCCTCAAGCCTTGAGCTTGTTCCCATTACACAATTCTTCAGTTTCCTCCACTGCTGTCTATGCCCACCCTCCTTAGTCCAAGCTATCAACATGTCCTCCTAGACTACTGCAATGGCTTTTTAAGGTATCTACAGTTTACTCTTGCCTTCCATGGCAGTCAGAAAGGTCTTTAAAATATTTTAATGGCTTCCCATTGCTCTTGAGATAATGATACAAATTCTCTATATTGTTCTCTTTTGCAGCCTCATATTGTACCTGCTCCCTGTCACACACTATACTTGGCTTTGTTCTTAAAAACCCATAAGATATTGCTATGCTTCTAACCTTTTAGCCTGGTTAACTCTTCCTCTTCCTTTGTATCTCAACTCAATTATGACTTCTTCTAAGAAACAGCCTTGACTTCCAAGAAGCTTGCTGGCCTCTAAGACTAGGTCAATTCCTTCCAGAATATACTATAAACTTCTTTGAAACTCTGATTAGTCCTAACTTTACCATTTTTTTATGTGTGTGATTCTTTGTTTAATATGTATCTCTCTCACCAGACTGTAGGTTCCATAAGATCATGTACAGAACCATGTCTACTTCTGCTCACTATCATTACTGCACGTTTATAATAGACAAGAAACATCTGCTGCATGAATAAATGAAGTGAGCTAACACACAATTGGGTTTTTAATATCATTCATAAAATGTGAAGATAGTACTTGATGATCAAACAAATAGCCTGAAAATCTATTCTGAAGTTTTGTTGAGATGGTGTTGTTTCAGGGTTAAGAAATGTGGGCTCTGTAAAAGAACATACGGGATGTGAACAGTTCCCAGGAATGTGTTGTTTTAGTTTGTCTGATTTTTCTCAAACTATTCAAATTCAGTTAGACAATATCCATCATATTATTGATAAGTTTTCACAAATGTCTAGGGTACCTAACTGGTTTTCTTGGTTTCACTGGATATGGCTGGTAATTATAGGTCTGCTTTTGTTATGTATCTGTATTCCTATTCTGTTAATGTGTGTATGCATTTTAATTAGTATTTTGTTAAACCCTATACATGCTTATGTTACTCTACAAGAAGTTATGTCAAAGAAATAATCAATCTTCCCATGTTTTCTTCCGTCTGCTACTTCTAAAGCTTTTCTTCTTCCTTCCTAATTACAACCCTTTAGTAGAATTCATGCTCATATCGAAAATTACTGAGAATCATAATTCTTCCAAGTGGTAAAGATACCTCAAGACAAATGCTGGGCATAGAAGCCACAGGGCATAAATCTGCAAAGAAGTAAAAAAGCTAACCTTTTCAAACAATATTGCTTCTCTCTCACTTACCAACTTTACATTTCCCTGTATGGCCCCAGAAGATGACTGGTTAGCCAGAGACGGGTAAGATTCCTCAAGGGAGGAACAACCTAAGACAGGCACAGTCGCAGGGGGGCCATCAGGTGAGAAATTGGGGATCAACAGAGGTGAGGCTTAGAACCTCACCCCCCCCTGTTTTGAGAGAAATCTTCTGCATCCGTGGATGTTTTGTTGCCCTTGTCTAGCTTGGATTAATACTTAGTCTATAGGCACAGACCTGATCATCTACATTTGCCCTCTTACAGCACTAAACTATGTTTTCTACCTTTATCTTGCATCTACCTACCACTTCAGCATTTTATTAAAAAAAATAATAAGGGAGAAATGTGGGATTCACATATAAGTATAAAAATCAAATGAATACTTATATCTGACTTGATTGTCTATACTTCATGATGTGTGATCAAAACCGAAAGTTTCTATGATATGACTGCCCTTGCACTGTTCACCATGTAAGAACTTACTCACTGTGTTAGAACTTGTTCATCATGTAAGAACTTGTTCGTTATGCTTCAGA